ATATTGGCTTATATATATAGGTACCATGGGACCATGTTGCAGTAGTTGGAGTGGCTGAGGCAACCCTAACTAGATTTTCATTGCTTAGATCATGCTCCATTCACCTTCCCATAAAGATATAGATTGTGAGGGTGGAGGGTGACCACAAAGAGGTATTAAGTGGTGTGTGTACCTGCTCCCTTAAATTGAAGCTGAGCACACGCACAGGGAGTGCATCTGATTTCTCTCTAGTGACTGTCCACTAGGAAATTCTGCCCTGCTTTACATCAGAACTTCCCTCAAAACTGTAATGAAGATGGCGTGCAGCACTTTCTTTCTAGGCAGAGACTTGTGCTTTCTGGTAGTTCTTCACTTCTTAAATAACCCAAAGTTCCCCGATGAAGAAGAATTTCTCAGGGAATCCACAGGAAGAGGCTCCTGATCGTGCAAGCCCATTCACTGCATCGCTCGCTGAGAAAACTGACATGAAATGACACTGGAGAAGATGAAGTCCGAACTGCAGCTGAAACGGGGGCATTCTGTTTCCTTTCCACGGGAGCTGCTTTGTGAGTAGACCCAGCCGTGCCTCTTTGATCCAGTAGCTGCTCGTTAGAAGCCCATAGGGAACCAGGAAAGCAGGGAGAGATCTAAGTCTCGAGCAAGTATGAATATGCTTGGCAGCCTGCAGCAGGGAGTAAGGAAAACTCAGAGCTGAGCGCCAGTGAGAGAGTAACAAAGCCCCTCACAGCTGATGAGTGAGTGTGGGCAGGAAGATGAGACAACTCAGAAGAGCGGTTTGGCATTGTGGGGAGAGGCTCAATGCCACAGCAGTGCACAATTAGGCTGCAACACACTGCAAAGTGAGTCTTTTCAGAGGTAGATAGCAGGTCAAAGGCATGCCCAGGGGTTGACTAGAGCTTATCTGCCTGTGCTGGACTTGCTGCAGCCCAAGGATTTTTCAAGATACGTGGCCAAATGGCAGAGTCACGAGCATCGGTCTGGACGTGCCCCTAGCCATTAGCAGTCAGTCTGCATCACCTACTTGGACCACAAATTTTATAACTGTTAAAGATAACAGTTATCAGTTATCACGGTCAGATCTGAGTCTTAAAGATAACAGTTATCAGTTATCAGTTATCACGGTCAGATCTGAGGCATTCAACAGGAATTTTTGACAGAGAAATCCTTCATAAACAGATGTAGATGGACTATTTCTGGAGGGATGTTCTATTTGCTGAGAAAACACTGGTAAAGGAGAAGAAAACAAAAACTGGGAAAGTAAAGCCCAACTCCTGTGGCTTCAGCAGTCCTTCTGAGGATGGGGAACCTGGCTTACAGGTCCCAGCAATGGGACACGTGGACACTGCCTCCCAGTGTGACGCTGAGAAAGCTGACCTGTGAGGGAGAGCCAACCTTGTACCCCCTTCCCACTCCCTCTGCAGAATCTGACCTCAGCCAGCAGGACACCTGGCTGCATCTGCCCTTGGCCCATGGGACCAGATGGTATCCTTCCAACCCAGCCAGCAATGGGACACATGGACACTGCCTCCCAGTGTGACCCTGAGAAAGCTGACCTGTGAGGAAGAGCCAACCTTGTACCCCCTTCCCACTCCCTCTGCAGAATCTGACCTCAGCCAGCAGGACACCTGGCTGCATCTGCCCTTGGCCCATGGGACCAGATGGTATCCTTCCAACCCATGGCCCAGCCACCAGGGCAACATCTGTATGGATACTAATTAGCAAGCCCAGAGCCAGATGAGGAAATTAAGGCAGCCAAACACAGCTACCTAGCACACGGCCGTACTGCCAAATCTCCAGGTCTTCCCAGGCAGATTTGTGTAAACACACATTAACTCATACATCACCACGTGGCTACAAAGCTCTAGCTCTGGTTTTGCGTGCTGGTACAGAACAACACAAGCCATAAACCAGCTAATTCACCTTGGCGGATAAGAAAGCTTTCATCAAAAGATTTCAGAGCCTTTTTTGAAGGAAAGAAATAACCCAGCGTACAAGGAGGGATACTTAGGCACAAAGCAGGGATGTAACTCACTTGGCATTACCTAGGAGGCTCAGAACAACCATCTCCTGAACTCACCACGACTGCTTATGCCCATGAACAGAAAGACCTAAAGGGATGTAGGAAGCAGAGCTGGTCATTGCCTCTTTCATGCTAAAAATGAGCCTCTAACCCGACCCCTCTCTGTGGTGAAAGGGCATTGCAGTACTGATAGCATCACCTTTAGCTGGGCTAGAGCAACAGAGAAACCAAGAATTTATACTCACTTAAAATCCTTGGCTGCTTTTTGTGTGGCTGGAGGTAAAGCCCAGTTCCAGTGAGCAATTTTATTCTGTTGAACAAAATTTCTACGTCTTTTAATTCTTTGAATACTTTTTCTGGTTTCCTGTCTTTAACTGCCACGTAACGTGGGTATGCATAAACCGATGCTAGTTATTATCATTATTGCTGCTTCACAGATGAAGAGTCTGAAGGAAAGGGCAATACAAACACTAAACAGACTCATCTCAGAATTGGTTTTAGGGCACAAATATCGGTTGTTTTCTGGCCTCTATGGCGACATATCTACACTGTCCTGAGAGCCACTCACCACGTAGTCAGCATGTTCTGCACACTCTAAGGCTGCAACTTCTAGCTCTACACAGTAGGGCCTGGAGCTTCCTAATGTGGTGATTTTTGTTTTGTTTTGTTTTAGTGTGAACAACAGCAAGGAATAAAACCAAAACACAACGGCTGTAAAGTTAAGCAAGCATTCGGATGTTGGGAAATGGGAATAGAAACTTTCATTGCTTTCCTTTCAAGCAGGTTCTGTCTCAGCAGATTTCAAGCAGTCTTTCCTCCAAGAGGTCAAAAGTATCCCAAGAAAAGTTGTGCTACTTCTCATCTATCTCCAAAACACAGTGATTGCCATAAGGCGGCCACATGTATTTCTGATGTCACTGACTGAGACACATTGAATGTGTGACATGGACTTTTGCTTAATTTTTTACGAATTCTTTAAGAATTTCAGCTCCCATTTTTCTGTATCTTGATGCTAGAGACCATTCAGAGCCTTCTGCTCCTGGATTTGAAGTGCACCTCCTCTGGTTTAATACTTTAGCGAGGGGCAATAAACACAGGCATATGTGAATAGCAACAGCAAGAAGAAATGCTGCTTGCCTCTGAAGGGTTTATTTAAACTGGCCTAAATCCCAAGTAAATTCTGCTCCTAGGAGCAGAAGTGTCAGAACTAGCCATTTAGGCTTTTGTTTTATTATCTAGACAGGTTACAGTGCAGCGAATGAGCATACAGAATCCACCAAGAAAGCTCTTGCAGGAAAACTAAATCCTAAATTCCACTCCTGTAATGTTCACTGAAGGTGTATTGAAAGCAAAATTTAAAATATGATGGTAGATTTTTATTGAGATCTATTGTATTTGACTTGTGTTTGGAAGGTTGGGCAAGGAAGAGGCAGTGAGGGTTTCACAGATATCTAGCAGCAGAATCAAGGAAAAATGGCTTTGAGTTTCTGGCTTGGACATGAGACAGAAATTTTACATATCAAAGTATGTAACAAGTAATGACTTCATTTCACTGCTGCAAGTAAAGGGTTTGGGTTTTTTAGTTTTTGCTGATAATTGCACAGCTTCCTCCTGGGTTTCCTTCATAATTTCTAAAGTTCACATTTTCTGCTATAGTAATTTGATTATTTGACTCCAAAACAGTAGTGTGAATAACATTGATTTGATCACTGTACTGCTCGAAACTTCATTCTCTGTTTGTACCAATACAATTCCTTCCTGTTTATTTTTATTTGGTAACATTTTCAGAAAGGACTCAGTCATTTTCTCTTTCTATAATTGCAAGGATGAAACCAGTAGAGAACTGGTTGTCCTAAGAGCCTAAGCAGGTCCCTCATAAATTGCTGGTTCATAGATTCACTATATATTTTCTTACAAAATCAAACAGTAATATTTCTACAGAATCTCACCTCACTCAAGGCCTGTTTGTGGAATGGACGGACACTTGTGGCAAAACAGGTAATTGGCAAAGGACTTTTGCCACATATGATGAAGAAAGGCTAGAGATGTGTAATGAAAGAGGATGGAGACTCCAGAAAGAGAAATGGAAGTTTTGCTGTTCAAGCAGTTGAACTCTATTGTGAAGGATGAGATTCTCTCCTCATGTTTGCCATAAAACACCTATGGAAAACACAGAAACTGTTTTTATGGAAGGTCACTTCCACTTTGTGCCTTTCATGCCTTTTTCTGGCACTGTGTCAAGTTCCTGAATTCAGATTTATACAAGTGCTGAATCCTCACACCTTAATTGAAACATGTCATCTAGGGGTGAGGGGGAAGGCAGCTTCCTCCAAATAATCAAATCTTTGGGAAGTGAAAATATCCCAAATTAGCAGATACTCAAGATAAATTTGTGCTTCTCTGTGCTTCAGTTCTCTCTGAGGAGAAATAACAGTTCTGTTATAATTCACAGTATTTTTGTGAACATGAAAATGAGTAAGCACCAAAGAAATATGCCTGTGAGAAAATCAATACTCTTTTCTAATGGGTTTTGGATGGTGTACATTAAATAAGGAAAAGGGACATCCACTTCCTGAATACTGCAAATTTTAGTTTGCTTAACACTGCTAAGCCATTTTTATTCCTTTGCAGATCATATAGGGTTATTTGTGCTTGTTATTAAAATGATACGTATTTGCATGCTAGCCAAGTCTGTCCTTCCAATTACTGCTACAGGAAGCCTATTCAATGAATCAAAATGCAGGCACTCCCAAATTTCCCACACAGTGCAGACCAAATGTGTGATAAACCTGCTGCATCTCCACCTCCTGATCCCACCCCTTTCAACAGCAAAGGGCTTCTAAAAATATTGCGGGCAGAGACAGGAGATTTGGCTGTGAGCTCTGGCCTGGCAGGCTGTGCTGACCCCGGATCCCTTTCTGTGAGCATTACAGCAGATCTGAAACAGCAAAGAATACAGATAAGAGAGAGCTGTGCCCACCTCAGCCAGAGCAGCAGAGAAGTGATTACAGTTCTTGTGCATCAGGTGGTACGCGTTTCCTTTGTACTCCTTGCCCAGCTCTTCCATAATCTTATCCACGTCCTCTTCTGTGAAGTCTGTGGTGCCCAAGGCAATGGATTCTCTAGTTAAAAACAGAGCACACAACAGGGAACATGGAGAGACCCGGTGAAGAGAGTCATATATACCCAGGGAAAAGGAAATGGTCAGACACTGGCAAGAAGGACAGGCTTAAAACATGGACACGCATACCTGGGGCTATCAGAGACTCTCAGTAACAAAATGGCACAATAATATCCCCAGCTTATCCACAAAGCAGGTTACAGCACGGACAACAGCCCCGAGAGCATCCTGCTCATCACCAGGGGAGCCTCAGCTCTGGGGGTCCGCTCCCATCTGCCTATCATCCCACAATAGATATTCCCAGTAGGGCAGAGGAGATGGTTTTTCATGATTGAGAGGGTTTTCATGGGGCGGGCCAGGAGGGAGCAAACTGAAAATTTTCTGCAGAAACCTATTGCTTCTCCTAATAGTCACTCACTAGCACTCGTTGTTCTAGAAGTCTCCAGTGACCCTCAGCACAAACTGGCAGTGTGGGAAGGTCAAGCCCCATCTGGCATGGGCAGCCCCTCAGCCTGAGCACCTTGAACAACACATTAATGCAGCATCCTCTCAGACTCCTCCAGCAGCTGGCCTGTCCCTTGTGACAATAGCAGCAATAAACACAGGAGATGATTTCTGGTACTCTGCGCAGTATCCACAAATAGGTGATACTCATAAAAAGACTCAGGTTTGGTTTTTTTGGCTCCGTGTCACACACAGCTACTCCCGTCCTTGCTGACATGTGAAACTGGGAGCACAGAAAACAAAGAAAATGGGAAAAGAGAACCGCGTCCGTTTGTAGGTCTGCTTTTAAACCCTGCCAAACACAGCTCAGCGCTGTTCCCCGTGTGGTGTACACACTCTTTTATCCACCTCCACAATCCCTGCAGGGCTGCCTTTGAACCAGGAGCACCTAAAGGATACAGCAAGGGTGCTTCTAAGGAGAGGGAAAGAGGAACCCGGAGGAGAGGACTTCCCTGCTCCCTCTACACCAATGGCTACCGGGGCAGAGGGGTAGATGTAGAAAAGGGCCCTTACTTGAATTTGAAGGTCTCGCCAAGTTCTACCGCACTGCCAGGTGTGATCTCGAAGATCCCACTGAAAGGGTAGGGATGCCCTCCATAGGCAAACTCTGACAAGGAAAGAAACAGACTGTGAGTAATTGAATGAACACAATGTCAGGAAAAAGTCTACGGCAGCTGTCTGCACCGTTCAGCATCAGCACCAGGGGCTGGGCTACTGCCAAAATCTGTTTCAGCCAGATTCTGAAAGCCATTTTGTCTCTCTGGTTACCTATCAGCCTGAGGATGCCCTCGCAACCTCCCTCCGTGCTAACACTACTGCCTTCCCACAGCGCCAGGAAAACTCCAAGCCTGTCTCTTTGCCTGTCCAGGTGGCTTCTTCTCAGTGGAAAGTTCTGAGGTGGAGGCACTGAGATAACCTATAAGATGCTGTCAGAGGTGGTGCTGAGCTGGAAGAAGCTAGAGCTGGAAGAAGGGAGAAATCAAATCTTCTTCCAGAGGGATTTACAGGCAGTAAGTGGGAATTCTTTGCAGAAAGCCAAGCAGATGGCACTCCACTGCCTCAGCACACAGGTCAAGCCAGGAGGTCCCTCCGTGTCATACAGGCCATCTTGCACGGTCTGTGAAATGCAGCCTGGGGACCTCACGGTGTCATACAGGCCATCTCGCGTAGCCTGTGAAAGCTTCTGTGCTCCAGATGGAACATGGCACCCCAGGGGGTTTGTCTACTGCATGGCACTGGCTAAAAATACCATGAGTGAGGTATCCCAAGCCATTGCCATTTAATGGTGAAGAGGGGAGCGAAAAGCCTGTGGTGCTACTCTGTCCTTCACTGTCCTACAGCTGTTTTCCCAGAGGTCATGACTGCCCCTTTTCTAATGGGTTCTCTAATCAGCTTCATCCCCATCCAGACCATTTCAAAAGTCTTACAAGACTTTTTTTTTTTTTTTTCCTTGTAACTCTGCTGTTTCACAGGAACAGTTGCCAAGACCTGGAAATCCACAATCCAAGATTTCTAGACCATAGACATTCATAAATAATTACTGCAAAACAGATCTACCCTGACAGGGAATTAGCACAAATGCACATAGGTAGGTCTCAAGACAACCACTGATCCACCTGTCTTCCCCCTCCCCCTTTTCTCCCCTTCTTTCTCCCCCTCCTTCACTGCAGAATGGCTTTCCAACATTGCCTGGTCCCTCCTGTTTGCTGTCCTGCTGCACAGCTGTACAAGCTATAGAAACTGCAGTTACATACTGAAAGCACGAAGGACTACATGATTCGTGACAGAACTGCACAAGTTCCCTCTAGACTCCATAATGGACTCTAAAAGAGAACTGGCTGAGTTTTTCACTCCTGAAAACATCCCGTACCAAAAGTTAGAAGTTTTGGGTTCTTCTCCATATCAGACCAGCTATACAGTTGTCCCCATATTCTGCAGGTAGTGAAAAGGAAATACTTCGTACCTCTGCCGTAGATCTCGATGCCAGAGTGGAAGACACCAATCCCCAAGGTGGAGGTGTATTCATTTATCCAGTACTACAGTAAGACAAAAGCCACATTTGGAAGCATTAGTGGACAAGAAACACATGACCTTGGCCTAGGATATATCCCCCATCTCCCATCCTCAGGGCAACATCTCCTAAGGACAAGAGTGATTTTGAAATTATCCTGAGACAAACAAACTGAGACTCCTTACAGACCAACAGGAACAGGCACTGTGTTTATACAGATGGCTGGGATTAAGGCTCCAAAAGATGCTCATCTAATCCTTTACATGTAAGGAATTTCCTTGTATTAAGATATAACTGGACCTGAACCTGCATAAACCCAGTTTTACCCATCTACTTGTCTTATCTGATCTTCATAAACTTGAGTTAAAGAATCTCCAGATATTTTCCGCATACTGTTTTACATCACCTCCTAACATCTACTTTTCACTAAGTTGTTTTTAAGCAATGAGATCTTAGAGACAGAGATCCATTCCTCCTGTGGGTCAGAGGAGCACCACTGAGTAATTGTCTGTATGACATTGGTAACTGCTTTACAGAAAAAAAAAAGAAGCTCTGAGCATACTGGTCAACACTTTGCTCAGAGGCACCATGTGCTATCAAGCAGTGTTTTCAGAAGGGACGAGGGCTTGCTGCTCCAAAATTAGGTCCAAGGTGACCGCAACTTCACCCAAGTCAAATTTTCAAGAGGAGCTGTTAAGTGACTTCATTTCTCTGGAGTCCAGCACTTCCTTGGTATGCTTGGAGCAGAGGAATACTGCAGTCCTGTGCACGGAAGCGACACTCCGCCAGCAAGCACGGCTCACTGTTTCCACCATACCATGAAGGACAGTGCAGACACCCAAACAAGTCCCAGCTAAGCTAATTCTGGAGCGGGAAGCCGCACAGCCATGCCAGGGCAGTGCTGCATTGGAGGTAATTAGCCCTGCTCAGCACCAGTATTTATTAGGTTAGCTGCAGAGCTCTGCTGCTACAGAAATGATGTTTTCAGGCAATAAGTGGAAACTGCCCACGCCTGGAATATTTACAGTTCACTTACGGCTACTGTGCAGTGAAGATGCATCTCTAGTAACTCAGAGCAACCGAATTCTTATTTTAATCAAGCACAGCAAGAAAAGTGAGCGTTGTTCACTTGTCCCCATACAATGACATGACAGGTTCATTCAGCTAAAATTCTCTTCTGGGTCTGGTAGCTGCTTCTGGTGGAGCTACCAGAAAAGCTGCGCCTTCCCTGGTGTCTGATGTCCCTGAGCTGCCACGGTACGAGTGAGAGCCCCTCTTCTGTCAGGGAACCAGGGGACTGGCATTCTCCATCTACTCTCACACTGCTTGCCACTATGTATTTTTGATGACTGCAGTATCTCTGTAAATCATCTAGAAGTGCTTTCTGTGAGACCACTGCTACTGTTTTGATATGAGAAGTGTAGTCCCAAGCCTGGCTTAATGTATGGCCAGTCTTGATACCTTAAACCATGCCCCCCAAAATGCTTGCCTCTGGCAGTCCAGCAGTTCCCTTTCCCTCCAGACATCACGAATGATGTATTACTGCAGGAAGGCAGCAAATCACCTCACCCTAACTGGACCCCTGCCCACTGCTCTCTTCAGAATTTGTACAACCTCCACTTATCTCTTCACTTGAATTATGCAAACTCTTGTTTTTAGGATACGTCAGACCACTGGACTGGAGCTAGGCCAGGTAGCTGTCAATCTCTGCTAGCGCATTAGCGCAAGCCCTCTGTTGAACACCATGCCTGGTAGTTATGAACATGATGTGGCCTTTCCTTCTACTGCCCTGCTCCACAGATCTCTGTTTCCCTGTCCTCTGCAGCAGAAACATCCCTACTCTGACCAGGGGAGAAGATACAGAGGTGTAGGCTGCATAGAGAGCCCGTATAACACCAGCCACCTCTGCTGAGGAGACCAAAGCCTGCCTCCCCACCGACACAGATAGCCCTCAGTTCAGTCCTTTGATCTCCCATATCTCATGGGTTAACTCCTCAGACTCTCAGTCTTGGTAAGCTTCAGAGAAACACTAATTTCTACAGAGTCCCACTGTAACAACTCCCAGAGGACATGGTAAGTAGGTTGTCTTCTTCCCTCAGGCTGAGCTATTGTCTCACAGCAACAATACAAGCACAACATGCCCAGGTCACGCCAGCTGCTTTGCTTAGAGGAGTATCTAATAGGAAGAGAAGGGAGACATTTTAAATTAGAAATGCTCCTGCCAGTTATCAAAGTCAGGGCTATCTGCAGAGGCTGCTCTGCATCAGGCTTTGTACTTCAAACAAGAAAAGTTAAACTGAAAGCCGCTTTCAGCTATAGCTTTTTCTTCTTCCGTGTTAAAGTCTGTGATGGGTCCAAACAGCAAATAAGCAAACAAACAGGGAAAACTAAACCTCTCCTCGTTACTACATGAGAATAATGCCCAGAGACCTGTTCACCTCACCTCAGCACTGTCAGAACACAAGTCCTCCCCTGTCCCCCATCCACCTGCACCCCTCTTGCTCCCAGCACAGAGCCACAGCCCCCAAAACCCACCCTGCCCAACCGAAGGAGCCAAGAGCCAGGCTGCAGGACAGCCCTGGAAACACATATATAAAAAAAGAGAAAAAGAAAAGGATAAAAAAAGAGATGAGCAAAAGTATTTCTCTGGCTAGTACCTGGTGTTACGACCATCACATGAACGTGTCTGTATTTAAATGGTGTATTTTTCACTATGAATGCCTTTAACGAATGTTGTGGACTGAACTGCAACAACCTCAGCCCTACCTGAATTCGAACTGAACAAGCTGTACTGGTTTAGTATTTTCTTTCCTTTACAAATAACTTCAATAACACAGGGGTGTTATTGAAGTGGGATCTGATTTGCATCTTGGTTCACTGCAAATAAAAAATTTCAGTATTATCTATTAGCAAGACCAAAATGCAAAGCAATTCTGAATCATGGCTGCTCCTGTCCTCATCTCACCCCTTGTCTCCAGGGTGCTGCAGAATCTGCCTCCGGTGTGCGACTGAACACGCGGAGAACGCTTCACGGCACTTTGGCACAGCCCACGGCTTGTCTCGGGAGGGAGCTATGCTGAAGTGAACATGTCAGTCATTCGCTGAGCTGGAAGAGAGAGCCCAAGCCAGATTTCAAACCAGGTTTGTACACACGTGCACGAGCTGGCCTCGTTTTCCAAGGGGTTTGCAATTCTGAGCATAAGAACAGCAGCAACAGTCAGCAAATACTCATCTCTGGAGTAAATTGGCTATTGCTTAGATTAAAAACAAAAATCTGCAGTCTGTTCTGAGTCAGATGAAAGAGACGGGGAATGGAACACAGCAGTATCTTAAAGGCAGTTGTGATTCATGCCTGCACTGCATACTGCCTGCAAAATCGTGCCGTAAACCCTACACAGAGGGACTTGGAGCATTCTGTCTCATTTCCATCTTCAGCAGAGACAGGGAACAGCTCAGAAGTGAAGAGAGGAAGGGAGGAAAGCTAACCAGACTGCAGCTGCTTCACAAAAGCAGCAGATAGACCAGGACTCAAAATTCAAACCCAGAGAAGAACCTCCTCTTATTTACAGTCTGAAGCGCATCAGTTAAAAGCTTTTAACACGGGTCCCTGATGAAGTAGAATTTGAAATTTTACAGTTCTCGTTCAAGCCTTCCCTGATTTCCTGGTTGGTTTCATTCAGAGATCAAAGTGTCTGGTGAGATAGTTTAGATTCTGGAAGATACTATGAGTCAGTTGTGTTACTCACTTCATCTTTCATAGAGCGGTAGAAGTGAACATCTCACCAGGACTGTGAACCATGCCCTAACTTTCCAGAAAGGAGACTAAAAAGCTTCACTGTATTGATATTCTTCTGGTAGGTCTAGGATGTAGAAGCAGATGGAGTGATACTAGCAGATTATGTCATCCTGGGACTTTTCGGAGCACGAGTTCCTAGTAACTCCTACCAGAAATGTGGATTTCCAGACCGGAGAGGCCCATCCATGTAACCACTAACTTCTACCATCAATTCATACCATACTATATCACTGAAGTTTCTGTTACTAACTTTCTCTTTTCCTCCCTACTTCTGACTGTTACTTTCCATGGTGTGTCTCCAAAATCTTTCCTGTATCACTGTGCTGAGCAGCTTGACTAACCAGCTCCCTAGAGACCAGAGACAAGACCACCCCTGTGACTATCTCAGATAGCACTTTCTCTGAGCAGCCAACACACAACACAATATTCCATTTATCACCCCAGTACAGACTGGATATTCCACTCCACCAAATCTATCCACTACTAAACAGACACTAACCCATCCTTTCTTATGATCTGTATGAACATATAGACAAGAAATCCACTGAGAATCAAAAAAATCCATTTGCTAACCAAATCTGATTTCAGTAAATAGTTGCAAACTCTGAGTACTTGGTGTTGTAGATCCTTGCCATGCTCTTCTACTCTACACTTGGTATCATACACAATCATTGTCTGAGCCAGGACACCAGGCTAGAGAGAGTTTTGGTTTAAGCTAGTCTGGTTTCTCTGATGTCCATGTGTGACCACACACTACTTTTAATTAAAACACTTTTACTAAGGATGGGTGCAGATTATAAACCGGTAATTAAATTAAGCATATCTCCTCTCAAAGCACAATCTGCATATATACCAGTAGGATTATTTCCTTTTCCCCCGGTGAATCAATTGGCAAAGCTTTGCTTCTAGAAGGAAGGAAAGAAACAGCAAAGAGGGATGAGAGCTACAGAAGATATTCTGACATTACTAGTGAGCAAGGAGCATTTAAGGGACTGAAGTAAGTGACCAAATTGCCTCGCTCTGCGAGTTTTCAGATGGTAGGGCACTCCTGCCAACACAGGTCTGATAACAGACTCTCTACCCTACCACTTGGGCTTGATTTTAATCCTTTCCTCTTTGAGAGCCAAGGCACACACACTCTTTGGCTCAACAAATCCAAGTGGAGGGCACCCGGGGCTCCAGCTGCTAACTGGTGTGCTCCATGAAAGGAGTTAGACTGGCAAGGAGTA